CCCCCCCGTGGGCGACGCCTTGCCCAGTGCCGAGGACAGCGGCTCAGAGTCGCGTAACAGTGGAAAGGGCCCGGCCTGGGGCGCAGGGCGAGCACACTGCAGCCCTTCAGTGCTTCCGCCCCGGCCCGGAGGGGACCCCAGGGCGCGGCAGGCCCCTCCTGGCTCCCCGCGGCTCCCCTCAGCAATATACTTGGTCGATCAGCCTGTTCTGCTCCCCGCTCTGTCTCTGGGGACCCCTCCCCCACCCCTGCACCTCTGGCCTGCACCCCAGCTCTGTGCATGAATCAATGAGTCTTTAAAAAAGAAATCGAACCCAGCTACTCAAAGGCGTCTTTGAAAGCTGCTGCGCCCCGTGAGTGACGGCACTTTCGCTTTTTCCGTGCAACACGTGCGGATGCTACTGTTCCGTGAGGGAGATAGAGACAGAGAGCATCTGAGTGTTTGAAAAGCATCTGATTGTTTCACCTGGACGGCTGAAGGGAAAAGGGGGTGCTAGGTGACCGTGGAGTGCTCCTGGGGCCCCTGGGTGAAAGCCGGGCGTCGCGCGTGTAAGGAGATGAGGCGAGGGCTCGCCTCGGGAGCTTGCCCTCGAGACCAAGCAGGCAGAGCGGGTGGGGCGGAACAGCCCGGCGCCTTCCTTCCCTGCCCGCGGACTCACGCGCCTCCGTGCTCGGGGCCCGCTTCCTAGGATGCTGGGCAGTCTGGCGTCCATCATCCCCGAGAGGAAGAACGCCCACCACAGCATTCGCCAGAGCCTGGACTCGCACGACAACGTGGAGGTGGAAGCTGCTGTGTTTGCTGCTGCCAACTTCTCCGCGCAGTCCAAGTAAGCGGAGCACCACCCCACGCCGACTGCGCCCCCAGCGCTCTGCAGGCGCCCCGGCAGAGGCGGGCCGGCCCTGGGGACGCAAAGGGTTCACCCCGAGGGCTGTTTCCCAGGAGGGTGTCGCTTGTGTCGGGGAGACGACACCGGCCCCGGGTGCCGACGGCGGCGGGGGTAGCCGAGGGCAGTGAGGGTCTCCGGGCGCG